TATCAAAATAGTCAGAATTGTATTATTCATCACTACTGGCTGCTGATGTTTACCTTTTTGACTTTAACAAATTCTTCGTTATCTATAACATATTCTTCTTCACCTGATTTTTTGACATAAGTGTCAAAGAATATGTTTGATTGTTCGATTCGAGACTATTCAGAGGCGTTTGAAGAATCGGCTGATCAAAATGCTGCATCTGGTCATCATATATTTGATTTCATTATGCTCATGCTGAAGTGTCTAAGGTTGAAGCATTTTGGTCGAGTACACTACAAAGGAGATTTTTTAGCTGAAATAATAAAAAAATGTTTAGTAATTTACTAAAATTCATAAATGAGATTTTTTTAAAAAAAATAGTAAACCTCGACCGATCGTCATAAGAGATTGTATACAGTGATGACAAACTTTCGTTCTGGATCATTTTCATCTGTCTCGCTTATTTCGGAAGAATTGTATAGGCAATTAGCCAGCATTTTTAATAAAGACCTCTTTTCGTATTTCATAATTCATACGTTATTATTCGCAAATAATCTTTTAGCAGTCTTTACTCATCATAATTTTTTCTAGAAATAATAAACTAAAAATTAAATAACTTAATAGATCAAAATTCAGATTATAATATACTAAATTCAGAATTCACTAACTTCGTGTACTTGACCATTTGCGTGTAATCATCATTGTTTTATGATGGCCTTTACACTTTGCTTGTATTGTCGAATCGATCATTGAGATTTATGAAGGCTTTAAAGCCAGGTTGTCAATTGGTCAATAGAAGGTCAAAAATTCAAAGCTAAGATCTTTCATAATTCTGGGGTCACTTTTGATATTTTTTTGGTATTAAAAGTTTTATTATAGTCTAAATCCCATTTCAAATTGATGGTTTTTAAAACCACTTTCATTTTGGCCTAAATATGAAAAATGGAAAAAAAATCAGTTTGTAATTTAGAATATCAACACAATTAACAAAATTCAAATATACCCTGCTTTTTTCACGTTGAACTCTTCTACTGATGAATTGCCATTGTTCTCAGAGACGATTTTTATCAATTTGTAATATATCTCATTATTAGTACAACAAACTGGCTTCTTGCCTTTCACTTTTTGTTGTTTAGCAGAAAGCTTATCACTGGAACCGTCTTTCGGCTGCCTCATCAATTTGGGCAGCTGAATTTTTACAAATCAATTGAGTCTGAAATATCAAAAAAAAGAAAAGATAAGAAAATTATTAAAATAAGTATTCTCAAATAAATTTTACCTCTCCTGCAAATTGTCATTTTCCCTGCTGAATTTGTCATTAATTTTGGCAAGGAATCAATTTTCGAATTCTAGTCATTTATTTTCGCAGGAGAAATCAGAATTTTTTTACTTGAATTACTCAATCATTTTGCGAATACCATCGAGTTATTCTTTCAGCTTTTGATTTTCTATATAAGAATATAAGAAATACATTGTTAGATTACTATACTTATTAATCAGAGAATGAGACAAATTGATACTGGTTTGTAAATCATCAGATTCGTTGATAGTTATCATTTCGACTAAAGCTGAAGGAGCCACTATCGATTTGCGTTAGAATTTTGATGGAAGCCAAATATTCCTGTATCATTTTCGCAATTCATCAATATTTACTTGATCTATAATTTGGAAATTTAAATAAGTATCAAATTTATATAATATGATATAATCAACTTATGTTCTGGGACTTTCAGCTTCTCATCAGATTTACGTTTCATTTGTTATAATTGTTATGCTTAATGCACTTATTGCGCTTGTTTCTTTGGTTGTTTACTTGGTTCTTTTCTTTTCATACTATTAGAGAAAAGGTAAAAGTTGATTAATAGAAATTTGGTAAATGTGAAAATTGAACTTATATAATTAATTAATAAATTATACATACATGCAAGAAATTATTATGCAAGGAAATATTAAATAATTATTTTTTTAAAAAAAAAATAAGTGATTTTTTTGAAAATAAGAAAATGTTTAAGAAAAATAATAAGATGTTTAAGGAATTGCTACTTCCTAAAGAAAGTTGAATGAAAAATTAGTACTTTTATATATTTCAAATCAACTAATTCTTACATCAGACAGGTTGATTTAGGTTGATTTTTAGCCATTGATGATTATGTCTGATTGACGAACGATTGATAGATGATTTTTACATGTCTGATTTTTTGATTTCGACCAGTGCAAATTCTCTAATTCAAAATATATACAGTGAACTCTTAATATAGCGAATTCTAGGATCTGGATATCAACTTCATTATAAGCTTATAATTACTTTTTTTAAAGAATTTAATTAGCTAGTTCATTATAGTAAGGTAATTTTAATATATTTGATTTAATAATTTGCTATATCAAGGGTTCGCTATATCAAGGTTTGACTGTATTGATTAATTCATATTAATCTGTATGACATATATCTAAATTAAGTAAAAAATAAAGATGAGAGATGAAACTCAAAAAAGGCAATTAATAAATAGCCGAAACAATATTAAAACATAGTGAGGGGTATGACGAAACCCTGAAACCTGAAATTAGCTAAAACTATATTAAAAATATAGTAAGGGATATGATGAAATTATTTTGAGGGAGTTTCGGCTGGCATCTTTAGTAAAAAAGTTAATAAATTTAGTAATGATCACTACCAATTTTTTATTCAATAATATTTTTTCGTTAACTTTTATTTTGAGGGTCTAAAAGGTATTTATATTTCCCTAAAAATTTTTTTCATTATAAATACTTTTTTTTTTATTGAAAAAATGTTTTAACTAAAATAAATTAAATAATTTATAAATGAAAATTTATTAAAAAGAATCTAAAAAAAAAAAATAATAAAATAAAATAAAAGTAAAGGTAAAAGTAAAATAAAAGTAAAAGTAAAAGTAAAAGTAAAAGTAAAAGTAAAAGTAAAAGTAAAAGTAAAAGTAAAAATAAAAGTAAAAGTAAAAGTAAAAGTAAAAGTAAAATTAAAAGTAAAAATAAAAATAAAAATAAAAATAAAATAAAAATAAAATAATAAATAAGATTTAAAGTAGTATTTTGCAAAAAAATTTGATTCAATTTAAATCTGATTCAAATCTAACAGATTGGATGGAATCAGATTTATTAGATTTGATTTAATTTATTAGATTTAGATTAGATTCAAATTCAGATTTAATTCATTTTGATGGATTTGAATTTGGATTCAGATTCAATCTGTCAGATTTGAATATGAATTAAGATCTGATTTATCAAATTCAAATTTAATTCAAATCTTATTTGCTAAATTTGAAATAAAATTCTATTTTGAAAGTTGAAAATAGTATTTATAATTAAAGTTTATTAAAGTTTTTAATAATAAATATTACTTTTAACTTTTAAGATGATTTCTTTTTTAAAAAAAATAATAAAAACATTATTTTTTAATTATAAGTTCATCTTAAAAGCCAAAGATTATATTTATTATTAAAAAAATATATATTTTTTTAATAATAGAGTCCAGTACTGAAAGTCAGAGGTAGAATTTATTATCTATTGGCATCAGATTTGCATTCATTTAATTTATTTTTATTAGTATAAATCTAAAAAGAAATTGTTTTCAATTTTTTATAGTAAGACGAAGCATAATAGTCTTTTTTTTTCAGCTTTGGAGTAGGATGGAATATCATAACTAAAGATGGTATAGCAATTGATTTCAAATTTACAAAATGTTGCAACATAAGCTAAAATTAGTTGCAACATATGTTGCAACATTATAAATTACAACATATATAGGTTAAAACTAATTGCAACGTAAGTTGCAACATTAAAAATTACAACATATTAATTACAGTTTCCATCTTTAATCATAACTTTAATAAAAAATTTTTTATTAAAAAATTCTTTTTGCTTTATTTATCTTTAAAAAACTTTTTATTTATTTATACTTTAATAACAAATTTTTACAATTATTTGATTTTAAAAAAATAGCTTTTCTCTTTAAGGTAGAGGTTGGAACTGATAAAAAAAATCTTAACTGATTATTAATTGTTTAATTAAAATCTTAAATGATTAATTAACTGGTTAATAATAAAACATTTTTAAGTTATCATAATTTTAATAATAAATGTTTATTTTTATTTAATATTAAAATAGTTTTAATAATATTCTATAATAATGTTAAACTAAAAAAAAATTAAATATTATATTTCTTATTTAAACATATAGGAATCAATTAGTAGAAAAAGGAAAAATTCAAAATTTTTATTAATTTTTATTATTAAGCTAATTTGTATACATAATCAAGATTAATCAAGTAGTCTAATAATATAAATTTTGATCGAAATTTGGATTTCATCCTTTTTTTACTAACCATCTCTCATATGTATAATTTAAAATATATATATAAATAAATATATATAAAAAATGAAATACTTTTATTTCTAAATTATAATTATAATATTAGTATATTATTTACAATAGAATTTAAATATTATTATTAAATTAAAATATTTATCTTATTAGCAAATAAACTAAATATATTAATATATTTTAAATTTTTTTTAATAAAAAGAATTTCTTGAAAAATTTTAGATTAAGGGTTATATACTTATTTGTAATAACATTTTCAGCATTTAAAAAAAAGTGTTCACTTGAAATAAATATTATTAGAATAGATAAACAATAATTGCTAATATAAAATCTTTTTATTTATTTTTATTTCATAATCAAAAGAATTTGTATTAGGATTTGCTTTTCTTTCTTTAAAATAATTATTACTTTATTTATTTTTTTATTATATTATTGCTTTTCATCTTTAAAATGTATATTAAAAATAGAATCATAAAATAATTTTTTTTAGTTACTTGAATTTTAGACAAATCATCATTTGGATTTAATTCATATTTTAAATCATAATATAAATATTGAATTTTAAATTCAATTTCTAATTTTATTTCATTATTAGCTAAAAAACTAAAATCTTTATATTTAGAATCTAACATTGTTAAAATAAATGCAATTTGACTAGGATTTTTTCAATAAAAATTTAATGTTTCAACAATTGTTTTTAATAATTTTTTAATTATTTGTTCAGTTTCTGTAAGATTTAATATTGATTCTTGTATCTTTTTTGATGTTTTATTATAATTAAGTTTTCTAGATTTTCTTAAATTATATTTAGATAGTTTAATAATAACTGATTTATTACTAATTTTATTACTAATTTCATCTATTTCTGAATCTGAGTTTGTAATATCTTCTGAAATATAATTATCTGATAATATTTCTTCCATATTTTTATATATAAAAAATATAATTTGCATAAAATAATAATAAAATTTAAATTTAATAAATTAAATTTACCAATTTCATTAATAATATTATTATTATTATTTACTGAAAATTATTTTTAATACTTCAACAATAGATAATATTAATAATATAGGAGCTGATCTATTAAAAATGGGTTACGAGACTAGTAAATTAATTTTGAGTAATTGATGATCAAAAAATAGTTATATCACAATAAATATACTTAGCCAATAAAAAATTGCACTAAAAATGATATTTAGTCTAATAAATTAATTAAACAATACTGAGGGAATGGCGTTTTTAGCTTAGTGATGTAACTGTGAATCTCATATAAGCTAAAGTTTTATTACACAGTAATAGACCATCAGTTCAGATATCAGCCAATATATAAAACTAAATAATTTTCATAAGAATTTCATATGTGACTGAATTGATGGATGTATGTACTAATATACATACAAATCTGGTTAATTGATCAATCGATCAACATTAGTCATGCCTAAATACTGCATAGCATTAGAATATGTAGATGCAAATAAAGCCTTAGATTGATAAAAATTTGGCCTTCACTAATTGGTCTATAATGGATACAATCTTACGTCTCAACTGGCTGAAGCTCTTATTTCTATATACAAAAGTATATAAATTAAGAAAGTGATTGACTAGAATTTAGTAAATAAGATCAACAATGATAATAGACTGCATTACATGCTACAATACTGTTTAATTGAATTATCATTAAAGACCAGGTTTAATTCCTGAATTATTTGATAAAATAGGTATAAAGTCACCTTTTTAAGTAGTGTTACTTCCGATGACTAGTTCAATAATGCACTATATAAGCGTAAGGAAAATTGTAGACTACTTGACTTTGGTAAAGCATAGAAGTGATAACTCTATAGGCTGAAATGATCTTTAATAGTACCTAAAGGTCTAGTTACCTATATATATCCCCTCAAAAGGGTTGTTTAGAGTCTATTCCTTTCCTAGATGGCAATCTTTGAGATTAGTACATATTAATGGTTGCCTTATATGAAAAATTATGTTGAAACCTTAGGTATTTACTTCATAACATATAACTTAGTTATAATAAAATACTATGAATTTTTACCTGCTAATACACCAAAAAAAAATTAATAAGATGATACTTTAATTTTATATATATAACATTTTATTATAATAATTATTTTTACAAATATTAAATTATTTAAAAATAATGAA